AGCATGAAAACAATTTTGTTGGCAATAAAAAACTTATCACAAATGGATTATTCATTTGAAATCATGAATGTACATTAATATTTTATATTTTATATATATATTGTCTTGGCTATGGCATTGCTAACCTTTTGCCATGACCTATGTCCTATAGTTAGCCTAGGCAGTCCCCTACATAGACTACTTAATATAAAGTTCATTTCACTCTCATTTCGTAACAAAGCAAAAAAGCAAGTTGTTGAATGTGAAAGTTTTTAAGTTTGAATACTTTTAACAGAATTTTTTTGCATCTTCAAGTTCTGTAAAAGTTTCTTAGTTATTTTTTCTTAAAAAAAAAAACTTATATATATAGTTGAGCCTATTTAATTTTCTGCTTTTGCACGCGTCGTCAAATACGAAATAAATTTTGTTCATTTCAAGTTTTAGGAAGTGCCACGCTATTATCAGCAAAAAATTATTATATCAAAGTTATTTTTTTCCAATGGTTTCTTAACTTTTTAACGTTTGATTTTAACTTTTATTTTTTGTGTAATTTTTTTTTCTTAATTTGATTTTGTTCGAGGAACTTTTTTACACGCTCTGAAATCGGACAAGTGTTCAAGGAAGTTTTTGATTTTTAATAAAAGTTTGACAAACTTTCCGCTTGGCTCTAAAGTTCTTTTTTGTGTGCTCTTTTCTTGCGCTATTTATTAGTCTATTAATTGTTCAATGGGGCTCGCTGAATTTTACCGACGGCGTTTGTTATTACGTTGCTGGGCTCAGGGGATTCCGACTCGCTGACAGGGCATCCGGCCTGCAGGACAATACGCGCGCAACTAAGCCGAGACATTGGTCGAGACGAGTTTATAAGCAATTCGGTTCATTTCGCCGCCATTGGAAGGCGCGAAAAATGCCGGAAAGCTTTTCGCCTCCGATTTGGAGTCGGCGCATTGCCAAATGTCGACATTTCATTCATAGAATCAACAGGTGACAAGGTCACGGGCTAGAGGCGGCCCAACAAGTGGGCCGCCAACTAATTTCTAGGTTCAGAAAGGAGAGGCAGAGAGAGTGGTGCAGCTATTGTTGTCAACAGGAGTTGTAATTGTGTTAGTGGCTTTTAGTTATTGTCTGCTGTGAGCTGGCACAGATTGAAGTAAACATAAACAACGACTTCGCAGCTATCCAGTGCCGGCTTTAAGCTTTCTACCAACTGGAAAACCCGAAGTCTTGGAGTTGCCTAAGCGATGCCCTCGCCGGATGCATTCAGTTGTTGCCGAGCATTCAGCTGCGGCAGAACCAACAAATGGCCGGAAGTATTTTATGTGGTTGGGTTTCCTTTTTACGAATATGTTTCATATGATGGTTCTTAAGTGTTCTACATTCACTAAACTTTCACTTTTTCTTTTTGTTCGCTTTCAGAAGATGATAAAGTTGGCACGCTGGATGAGCTGCTGAGTAATGCCTATTGTCGTTCGCAGCGTTTCCTCTCCAAGCAGCTGGCGCACTTGCGACCCGAGCTCACCATGTCCATATTTTCGGGTGAGTTACGACGACTGGCAACTTGTTAGACAGCAGCAGACATCAGTTGATTTCCTCTATTTTTATATGTCTTTGCAGAGATAACACATCGTTTTCAGAGCGCCCGTGAAGATGTGCGTGCCTTGCTGCTGCAGTGTCTGCTGCCCTGGCTGCAGAACATGGAACTGGTTGCAACGAGTGTGCCACCTGCGACGCCCCTTTCCTATATTATGGTAGGCGTGCCTGTAAAGTCTCTTGTCTGTTGTGCTTTATCTATTGCTATGCTTCATTTGCAGTATTTCCCCGACTCGGGCACACGCGGACGTCGTGAGGGCACCGGCTCAACGGAGGCCACAGAAATGATTTTGAATAATCTATTTTATATAACTGCCAAGGTGAGTARACTTAACATTTATATTAATTATTTATATTACACTACTTGACTCTCTCTCTCTTTCTCCCTCTCTTTTTGTCTGTTGTCTTGCTTGTCCATAGTTTTCGGATGCCCATCCGCGTGATATTGAGGAGCTGTGGGGCACCTTGTGTCAGTTCTGGCCCAACAATCTAAAGGTCATCCTGCGCTATTTGGTCATTATGAGTGGCATGGCACCCACCGAGCTGTTGCCTTATGTAAGTGACATGCATTTTGGCCACGTTTTCGGCAATTAACTTTTGCATTTTCAGGCTAAGCGCGTGGCTCTCTATTTGGCACGCAGCTGCCCGGATCGCTTGCTTGATGAGCTAATGGCCGAGCTGCAGACAGTGGAGACACTCAACTGCCTTATCGAGCGCACTGAAACACCGCCCTTCTACAGGCTGACCAGCATGCGAAAGGCTTCCAGTCATAGTGCCGATGGTGAGTTGCAGCTGAAATCTGATTTTAGCAACTTAATTGAGACTTTGCTCTTTGATTGCCAGGACAACCTGTGGGCGGCATTAACGATTCGCGCACCCAGGACCTGACCGTGGAGAAGGGCACCATACACACCAAGCGGCACAGCGGCGAGGATCCCATTAAAATTGGGTTTGTTCTATTTAACTAAAATGCAAAAGAAACTCGAAACTAATTAGTTTATTTTGGCATTTATAGCACCTGCAAATCGGACAGCGGCATACGCGCCTATACTCAGGCAGCCGCGGCTGCAGCTGCCGCTGCTGTTACACCCATTACCGGAGGCAGTCGGCCGCCTCGAGGTGCTGATAAAATACGTGCTGCCTCAGGTCCGTCCATACTGCCGCGACCCGAGGACATACTAATCAATGATCCAGAGCTGCGTCAGGAAGAGAATGTGGAGCTACGCAATACAGCGGAGGCGCCGGCCAATCCACATCCCCATCCGCTGCCCATGCCCGAATATGGCGGTTACTTTGCACCACTTACCGAATTTTTACCCGATGTCAGTTTACCTATCAGCGGATTCCATCGGTGAGTGAAAAGCAAATTATCACCGTTTAGTGACTCCACAGGGATATATAGAAGAGTACAAATTTGTTTTGCTCTTATGAATGCTCTTTTATTATTTTCAAAGACTCATACATTATTCGTAATAAATTCCCGTGTTAGATTGTATCCAATCTAAGTGGGAGGTAACACGGGTAAAGCCAGCTGGTTTTCCGAACGTGCAGCCATCAGCCGAACCGAAAGATGTTATGCCCACCAAAACGGGCTCGTCATGGGCTACCAGTGGGCCGCCGGTGTCACCCCTACATGTGGACTTTCCGCCTGTGCTTCTGGCACACACTACGTTCGGTGGCAGAACGCCATAGCTCTCATGGCACTCGTTATTAGTCATGATTTGTAGATCGACACACTGCAGCCTATCGGCAATTTGACCATTGGCAAGTTCTCCCCAGCCACAGGCAACTGCCCACCTGTTCTCAAAGCGTTCGTTCTTTTGACTAAGTCTTGGCAGATTTATCTGGTTTACGGTTGCTGAGAATTCCACGTAGGGAATGCGAATCAGTCCGATGTCATAGCCCATGGACGGCCAGTTCTCGTGACGAATGAAATCATATTCGTAAACTTTAAAATGATATTGACCATTGCCTCGGGAAATGGCACCCAGGTGAACCTCCACAACGTCCGTGCTTAGGCACTGGGCGGCAGTTAGCACAAAAAATTAGATATGATTACGCCACTGCAAATTCCAACTTGAGTTCCGTCGTAGTTTTCCAATAGCAGGCTGACAATGTAGGGCGCTTTTCCTTGGTAGGCTGCATAGCCATTGGCAATAATATTGCTGGGATTATGCTCCTCATCCGTTGAGGTCGTCCGATTGCCGATTGCAGTGGCGCAGGCCAAAGCCAGCAAAAGAATTTGAGCGAAAACTTTCATACTTAATTTGAATGTAAAAATACTTGCAGCTACGATCTTATATAGGAAACTCTACCTACTAATTACACCATTCGCTTAACTTGGTCTGGTGATAGCAAATGATAATTGTAATTAAGGATGGTAATTGAAGATAGTTGTAGATAGCTAATGGCTTAAAACATTATTCATTCAAATGGATAGTTCGCGCCTATGGTTATTGCTACTAAAATTGGTTTGGATTACTACTCAGATTTCTTAACTGTCTACACAAGCTCAATAAATTTTCTTCTTAAAATTAATTATCTATAGGAGTAATTACATACAGTGCATTTTTATTGGTTTTTTACATAGCTCAAGAAGCTTATTTGTTTAGTAGTACGCGATGCCAGAATTTTGACGTATCCAGTCCAAGTGAGCGGTCACGCGGGTAAATCCAGCTGGGCTTCCGACTGTGCAGCCTGCTGCCGAACCAAATGATGTTATGCCCACCAGAATAGGGTTATCGTGTGTCACCAATGGGCCACCAGAGTCACCTCCGCAGGTGGATTTTCCACCAGGTGTTTTCACACACAATATGCCATTGGGCAGATTGCCATAGCTCCTAGAGCACTCTYTGTTGCTCATGATTTGTAGATCGACGCACTGCAGCCAATCAGCCAGTTTTCCATTTGCCTGCCCTCCCCAACCGCACGCAACTGTCCACCAGTTCTCAAAGAGCTCTTTCTGTTGATTGAATTTGGGGAGATTTACCTTGTTCACCCTGGAGGTAAAGTCAACGTGCGGAGTGCGAATCAGGCCAATGTCATTGCCATTGGTATTGGGCCAGAGATGGTGACGAATGAAGTTGTTCTTCCGCACACTGTGATAGTATTGGCCATTGCCACGCCAATTGGAGCCATAATGAATGTCCACATAGTCCGTGGTTAGGCAATGGGCGGCAGTCAGAACCCAATTGTGGCCGATGATGGTGCCGCCGCCTATTGCAACACGATTGCTGTTATCAGTTCTTATCAGTAGACTGACGATGTAGGGAGCTTTGCCTTCGTAGGCTGCATAGCCATTGGTAATGATATTGCTGGGGTCATGATCGTCTGGTGAGGGCTCGATCTTGGTCTGATTGTCTTCTGCAGAGGCGACGGCAAAGGCCAATGAAAATATTACCAGAAGAACTTTCATGCTTAACTAGAAAGTGAATATAACGTCTACTGTTCCGAACTTTTATAGCTGGATGCAGAAAGTAATTACACTTTTTTTCCTAAAAACTATGAATGATAATGGAAAGAAGTGGTTGAAATGGAAGATAATGATTGATTATTAATGAGCTAAGACATTAGGTAGTATTAGACTCCTAAGTGGAAATATAATATTTCAGTTCTTTATAATGCTTCAGCTCTTTAATTTTTAACACAAGCTACAGACAACATTAAGGAGTCACAAATACTGAAATGCGATTATGTTTTATTTAATGATAACTAATATAAGTTTATATACATATGTGTGCATTACAAGATATTAGATTGCTATATATGCAAATTGGAGTTGATTAGTAAGCGATTCCGGAGTGTTCACGAATCCAGTCCAAGTGAGCGGTCACGCGGGTAAAACCAGCCGGTTTACCGACTGTGCAGCCGGCTGCCGAACCAAAAGATGTTACGCCCACTAAAATGGGATTGTCGTGCGTTACCAACGGGCCACCGGAGTCGCCACCGCAGGTGGATTTTCCATCAGGTGTGCCCACACACAGTATGCCGTTTGGTAGATTGCCATAGGTATTTGAGCACTCGTTGTTGCTCATGATTTGTAGATCGACGCACTGCAGCCAGTCAGCCAACTGTCCATTGGCTTGTCCTCCCCAGCCACAAGCTACTGCCCACCAGTTCTCGAAGAGTTCGTTCTGTTGACTGAAACTGGGCAGGTTAACCTTATTAACTGTTGGCGTAAAGTCAACGTGCGGAGTGCGTATCAAGCCGATGTCGGTGCCCTTGGTATCGGGCCAGAGATGGTGGCGAATGAAGTTCTCCTTTCGAACACTGTGGTGATACTGGCCATTGCCTCGCCAAGTGGAGCCATAATGAATGTCCACATAGTCCGTGGTTAGACAATGAGCTGCTGTCAGGACCCAGGTGTTGCCGATGATGGTGCCGCCGCCTATTGCAGCACTATTGCTGTTATCAGTTCTGATCAGCAGACTGACGATATATGGAGCCTTGTCCTCGGGGGCAGGATAGCCATTGCTAATAAAAATACCGACGGGCAGATCCTCCGGTGAGATCTTTGTCTTGGTCTGATTGTTGTTTGCAAAAGCAGCGGCAAAAACCAATGAAAGCAGTAGCACGAGAGCTGTCATACTTGAGTAGAATGTGATTGATCGTTAACAGCTACGATCTTATATAGTCTGTGTCAGGAATTAGCTACGTCATCGTTTAGAATTGTCTGATGATAATATATGTTATGATAAAAGAAATAAGCTATTGAAATACAAGATAATGGTTCACTGATAAAGGCCTAAGACATATCTATAAACTATGTTTGTATAGAATCCACCTTTATTAGTTTTACACTTTGTCTATGTGGTGATGTTTAGTTTCTTAGTAAGCAACTCCAGACAGAGTTTTTTGTATCCAGTCCAAGTGAGCCGTAATTCTAGTGAAACCAGCTGGGCTATCATGCAGCCAGCTCCAGAGAAAAATGATGCTATACCAAACAAGGTGCGATCAGAGTGTGTAACCAAGGGGCCATCGGAGTCACCGCCACAAGTGGATTTCCCGCTTATCGATCTTCCACACAATGAGCCATTTGTTAAGAAAACCCCTGAAGCATTACATTATACTGATTAAATATGGGTGAATTGGTATAATAACATGGTATATACCTCTTTGCGCATATTCTTTAGGCATTTTTAATTAATTTATACTAGATTACAATGATAGTTTATAAAATCACAATGAAATAATGTAAGTTGATTGCAGTGAATAATTTTTATTAAATCAAAACTTCTTCAATTATGATTGTGCTTGCAAATAGTTATAAGGATTTAGTACGAGATGTCAGTGTGCTGACGTATCCAAGCTAGAAAACTCGTAACACGAGTGAAGCCAGCCGGATGCCCAGCTGTGCAGCCTCTGGAAGAAACGAACTGACTAATGCCAATCAGAATAGTATTGTCCTGTGTGACAAGCGGTCCGCCCGAGTCGCCAGAGCAAATGGATCTGCCGCCTGGAGTGCTTATGCAGAGGATTTGGCTGTTGATTGAGCCAGCCGCATAGACTCTGGCACATTGCTGGTTCGATATAACAGTCGCATCGACGCATTGCAGTTGGTCGGGTGTCCTAGTGGAGGTGGTTATACCCCAGCCGCAGGCCGTTGTCCGTTTATTGACATAGAGTTCACCAGCGTTGCTCACACTGGGTAGTTTGACCAGGTTGATGCGATCGGTGAAGGTCACGTGTGGAGTGCGTATCAATGCTATGTCATGGGTGCGATGGTTAATGATATTGTCCGCGTTCACAGTGTGTATCACTGTGCCCTGGGCACGACGATTCGAGCCGTAGTAAATGGTCACCGTGCTGAATCCCTTTGAGCAATGTGAAGCGGTTAGGACCCAAGTATTTCCAATTATTGAGCCGCCACACCATGCGCCTGAATTTCTTTTGCTGAATAGCAGACCCACAATATACGGGGCTTTGCCCTCTGGTGCTATATAGCCATTCGTGATGATGTTTTGAGGTTCCAGCTCAAGGAGCGGCTCTGGCACTGGCTCCACATCAAGTCGTAAGTCATCATATACTCCCTCAACGGCAGCCGAACTGCTTGTTAGAGCAAGGGTAAAGAGCAGAAATATTATCACCACCTTCATTCTGAATGAAAGTAGTAAGAGTTGGGGTTGGAGCTTATATAGTAAACTGACCCACTTTTTAGGTAAAGCCCCTTGGCAAGATATACTAATTAGCATGATTCATTTGCGAGGTAAACAAAATAAGTTTTAACAAATAATGTGTTTGGGCATTAGGCTAAGCATTTCGAAATTGAAGATCCTCAGCAATATCAAGAGTAAAAAAGTTAGTCTTAAAAGTTTCCGTTTGTTACAAAAAACAAAAACAAAAACAAAATCTTTGAGAACGTTTTAGCTCTATAATAATCTCCAATTCTCTTCTCTTGCAGCTGCAATGTGGCTGTCATGCTGCTCACAGACATTGTGGTGGATGGCATTCCTGGCATCGATTGGACGCTTCATTTGCCCCTGATGCTGCACATCTTGTTCTTGGGCCTCGATCACACCAGAGTCATTGTGCGCCAGCATTGCAAGCAGCTCTGTGTCAATTTGCTGATTGTCCTGGCTGAGCACAATGATCATCTGACTGTCGCGCGCATTCTGCTCAACAGTGAGACGAGCAAGCTGGATTTGGGCCTGACTGTGCCCGCTCTGCCCGTGATTGACAATAACTTTACGGAGCTGCACCAGCAATTCGATAGCTATCTGCTGCACGTAAGCCCCCAGGCGGCTGCCTATGCACTGCAGCATAATCTCTCGAGCTCGACGATCATTGCGTCGCACTCGACCAACCAGCAGACGCTGCCGCAGACGCCGCAGAATCAGCAGCAGCCGCCCCCAGTGCAGGGCCCAGGGGCGAGTGCCACGCCAGCAGCTTTGACGGCTACGCCCGCTGCGCTGCAGATCAATCCGAATAATACGGAAAACTCGGAGGTGCCGTTAATCCATGCGGATGAGCACGCTCCTCCCCAGCCGGGTCCCAGCATGCCCATAGCGCATGTTATCAAGAGTTTAATCAAGTTCCTAGCTCAGGACACCAGCCAGCCGCTGTGGAACTACGAGGATATCACAGCTAAGGTGTGGTCGGTGAAGTCAGCGGAGCAGCTGAGCTGTTTCCTCAAGCACATGGTCAAGGTGTTTGCCGATAGCTATCCACAGGCGCGCATTGCCGAGCGATGGGCGCAGACGGCTTTGCAGCTGGGCTTATCCTGCTCCTTGCGTCACTATGCCGGGCGTTGCCTCCAAATCTTTCGCGCCCTCAATGTGCCTATCAATTCGCGCATGCTCTCGGACATACTATCCCGTCTGGTGGAGACTGTAGCGGAGCAGGGCGAGGATATGCAGGGCTATGTAACGGAGCTGCTGCTGACGCTGGAAGCTGCTGTCGACAGCTTGGACTCTGACTTCCGGCCGCTGGACGTCATGAAGGACATTTTCAAGAGCACGCCCAATCTGAACAACAAGGACGGCGGGCCCAACTCTATACTGCCTGGCAAGAAGTCGCCGTCGGGCATGACACCGCAATCCTCCAACTACTCCATACCCAGTCATGGACGCAGCACCAGCTACTCGGTGTCCTATTGCGGCCGCAAGGCCAACAACTCGCCCTGCGACAAGCAGGTGGAGCTGAGGAATCGCGCCTCAGGCATCGAGCTGGAGCGCAGTGTTGTCTGCAAGTTTGGCGTGGGCGGAGTTGGCGTCGGTGCTGGCTCCGCCTTGTCGCGCTCACGTAGCGCACAGAGCCTGAAGATGCTGGGCGATACGGCCACGCAGGATGACAAGATGACCATATTGGCGCAGCTATTCTGGCTATCGGTTTCACTGCTCGAGTCGGACTATGAGCACGAGTTCTTGCTGGCATTGCGTCTGCTAACCCGCGTACTGCATCGCCTGCCGCTGGATAGACCCGATGCGCGGGACAAAGTCGAGAAGCTGCAGCAGCAGCTCAAATGGACCGCATACCCTGGCGTGCATGCGCTGCTTTTGAAGGTGAGCCAATGACGACTGATCACAGTCAGCGTAAGCCGGTAATAAACTTTTCTCTATTTTTCCATCAGGGCTGCACCCACAGTGCCACCTATGAGCCAACAATCACGCTGCTGTCCCAGTTCGCACCGCTGCTCAGCCTGCCAGTCTGTGATCCCACACAGAGCTGTGCTTTTCCCATGAACGTGATTGCGCTGCTGCCGTATATGCTGCTCCACTATGAGGATGCCAATGAAATTTGTATACGCAGCGCTGAGAATATTGCACACGTGTCCACGGAGCTGGGCGCCAAGCTGGAGAATCTGGGCACAGTGATGACCTTGTACAGTCGCAAAACGTTCTGCAAGGAATCATTCCAGTGGACCAAGTGTGTGGTCAAGTACTTGCACGACACATACGCTCACATGGGCCTCCACATGTTGGCCTTCCTCATCGAGGTACTGGAGAAGGGGCCTCAACAGGTCCAAGTGCCGGTCCTCAACGTCATTCACTGCATGTTACATTATGTGGATCTATCGGCGCCACAGGCACAGAATATCAATGCGGACTTGCTGCGTGCCATAGGCAAATATCTGGATGTGAGTTTATCATATAGATTTCGGGACTATCTCTAACTCTACTATTTTGCAGACTGTGAACTGGAAGGATTCTTTGAAGATCTTAAAACTCATCGTTACACGCAGCTCTTCGCTGCAGGTGGTGCCGCCCAGTGATGGCAGCAGCGCCGGCTTATCGTTCTCCTTCTATGGCGCATATCCGGACTCGGATATGTTCTGTAAAAAGGAACTGGCCGGCCGCACCATGGAGTTCACCTTCGACGTGTCGCAAACTCCGCTGATCGGACGTCGCATCTTGCTCAAAACCGAGGAGCCCACATCTGGCTCTGCAGCATCCGCCACAGGCAGCTCGTCGCTAAACTCCACACTGACCAATGCCACCACCGTGACAGTTGCGCCTGCACAGCAGGCGGGTGCACAACTGCAGCAACAGCGCGCCCATGGGAATGTATCAGCCATTGGCGCCTCTGCCGCCGCTGCCCAGCAGCACCAGCARCAGCAGCACGGCATTGGCCTTGGCAGTGTTGTTGGCACACCCAACTCACCCAGGCGCAGTGCCAGTCTATCTCCTGCGGATACCGTGCCACTGAGCGGCTGGAAGCGTCCTTGGATGTCACAGTGCCGGGTGCGCGAGTGCCTGGTCAATCTGTTGACCACCTGTGGACAGCGGGTCGGCTTGCCCAAGTCGCCATCGGTAAGTTTCTGGCCACAAGGGGTTCGAAAGGGGGTTTCCAGCTTGTACATTAGCCAGGTGCATGCTTTGAGCTCCCCTAGCGCTAGCTTTTTCAGCTCCTGCTTTCTAATATGGCCATCATCTCTACCAAATTATTTATTTCTAATTCTTTTTCTTTCATGTAACAAACAAAAATATAAACTAAATTATAAATCAATGTTGATATAAACCAATTCCAATATCAAACCAAATCTAACACGCCATTATATCATCATTAACAACCCGAACCAAACCTAATTATAGGACGATTTTCTAAACTCTATTTGCTCAAAGGTAAAAGAACATGTTTCTAAATGTCACGTGTAGCTTTGTCTTTGTTTACGTAATTTGTTTTGGCTCGTTTCATTTCACGTGTACCTTTATGCATTGCTCCTCCGTTTCATTCCACACATTTCGTACACATGCTGAAGGCGTGTTCTCAGTCTGGGACATCTCTTTTGGGCATCGCTAGTTCTCTTTTGTTTCATTTGCATTTTTCTTCCGTTCCGCACTTTTCTTGCATGTGTCTCTGTTTTATTTCAAACTGTTTGTTTCGTTTTTCTTCGTTTTAATACGTTCAGTCTCTGAGCACATCGCTACTAACAGGATCGATTGCGACCAGACAAAGCGTAAGCTTTCCACTCTTTTCTTACTTAATGTTTGATTCCATATATCTACTTGAGTGTTTATACTGCATGTGCTCTCTGCCTAGATTACGTACTGATGCAACGTTTATTTTCCAATATTCAGGTCATCTTTAGCCAATCCTCGGATCTCATGGAACGGCAATCATCGGCCGCCTCATCGACGGAGGAGACATCAGGTCCGCAGGGCGATCTAAGCAGCGGCTCGCGCCGCGACGATGGTCAGCCCGATTTTACTGTGTTCAAGGACTTCGACTTCCTGGAGTACGAGGATAGCATTGCCGGTGAATCCACCGATAACTTTAATTGGGGCGTGCGCCGCCATCAGCTCTTTGAGGGTGATGAAGATCTTCTGAATCTCGGCAGCGGCATGGGCGGCTCTATCAAGGGCGGCCATTCGTCAGCGCTGGAGGATAGCTTCAGCGATAAGACACCCATTCTGAGTAAGCGCAAGCGACAGACCGCAGACGATTCATCTGATGAAGAAGCCGAGTCGGAGTCTCCGCTAGACGACGATCACCGCCAATCGTTCTTGAAGTCCTTCCTAGGCGGCGCACCGCCTTCTTCGCTGAGCTTGCGGGAGCGGCGTCGTCGTAATTCGGTGTCGCGCAGTGACACCAGCGGCTCCAGTGCAGGAGACTTGGGTGACATCACGCCATGCAATGCCTCGCCACATATGCAGGGCATCATTCGCTTTGGGGCCGCCGTGCGAGATGAGGCTGAGGAAAACTGGCGTCGTCAACTGCAGTCGATGCTGGTTAATCAACCCTCGGCGCACACTTCTGAGCTGCTGCAGCAGCTATATAGGCTGGTCAAGGAGCTGACCTTCAAGACAATCAGCATTTCCAAGGAGGCGAAGAAATTCTTCACTGGCATCGGCTCACAGCTAGGAAATCGCATATCCCTCTTTACGGATTTATTGAGTGCACGCGCCGATCCGCCGCGTGTTTGGTGCAGTGAAGTGCTGCCCACCACGCCGAAGCTGTTGGAAACTTTAAGATTCAATGTGCTGGAAGTGCAAGAGCATCTGGAGACGTTCTTTGATCGCAAAGATCAGGTACTGGAGGTGAGTACTTTTACTTCTATTTATAGTATTTGTTTTCATTTGATTCCATTTCATTTTCATTCCATTTTGCAGTGCCTGGATGCCGTGAAGACATCTTGCAAACTGTCCCTCTTTAATGAATCCGATGTGGCGGCCTCTAGCATGGAGCTACCCAGCAGTTCCAGCATTGCGTGCATGCCCTTCGATCCCGCCTCCACGGAAGTTGTTCTGGACTTGGGTCGCTCTTTGTATAAGCTAATGTTTCAGCTACTTTTGCTGATTGAATCGAATCATAAAATATCCTCAAATGTCGTTAATCATTTTCGCGTCAATGAAAACGTAAGTGAAAGCGTCTAGGAAAATGTGCTTAATGCTAATTTTTACTTTTCCTAAAGATGCACGACATATCCGATCTCTACGCCTTGGTGCGAGATGCTTTGGTGCGCTGTACTAGCGAAGCTGAACTAGATTGCCTGGAGTCATCCACCTCGACGGAGGGTGAGCATACTCCCACGCCCTCGCCAAGCTTGCCCATGACGCAGGAAGAATTTGAGGCGTCGCTGCACGAACATATTGATCTGCAGCGCTGGTCGAGCGCCATTTCTCATGTGCGACAGTATCGACGCGTGTCCACGCTGAGTGCAGGTGATCAGAGTCTGACTATATTTAGCTATGGCAATTTGGATAGTCGCATCAAGTTCGATGAGATTTCAATCATATTGAATGCGTATGCACATAGCATTATGAAGGATCGCACAGGTTTGTGTTCGAATGACTTAACTATAAGAACTACTTGTAACATATTTGTTTGACCAGCAGAGGCCTTCATTGTATCTAAATCGGACTCGGAGCTGTACGAAGTATATGCTATACTCTCAGAGAACTTGTATCATGTCTCGAGCGCTCTGACCAACATGGAAATCAATATGAAGAGCTACTCTATGGGCGTTGGTTCGGGCAATTTGCATCGCAGCGAGCAGGACATTGTGACAAATCTTTAAGTATAGAGGAACCCTACATATGTTTAAAATTAGTGAGGACTTAAGCTCATTTTGATATGTAATCAAATTTAGTTGTTAATATTTAAGCAGCATTATAGGGCACTATCATTCAGTTGAGAGTTGAACGAGCATTATTGTGTATGAACAAATGTGTTTTAAGTACGATATAATTACATAATATATATACATAACTATTTAACACTGATCGCAATTAGTTTTGACATATAAAGCTCCAGAAGTGAGCTCTTTGATTAACCCTTGGGAACATTGAACAACAATTTGCAATTTTTTGTATAATAAACATTTAATTACAAATTATTTGTATTCTTTTTATGTCCACATTGAACTGCGACAACCTAAAGTAAATAGAGCAAATTTGTCAGCTTAGCATTTAGTCAGGTGTGATGCTTTGACACACATATTCATATACATAAACGTTCTTAACTAGTTGAACAGATTCTTGAGCGCATTTCGTTGCTGTTTATTGTATTCGGCCAGAAGCTGCTTGGCACTGTTCAGTTCATTCAGGATTTGTTTATTTTCTGGCAACAGGCTGTGTGCATGCTTCAGATCTTTTATGGCCTCCTCGTAGTTGCGCAAGGCGCGTTGCGCTTGTCCTCGTCTATAGAACGCTTTGCTGCATTTGGGATCCAAGCGTATGGCCTCGGAGCACTCATATTTGGCATGCTGATAGTTGCCCAATTTCAGCTCGACAGCTGCCATGTTGATGTTATTCACCACGGAAAAGGCATCCAATCTTCTCAGTTCTGAGTCACCTTGACTCCGCTTCAGCTCCTGCCAGTCAAAGTTGCGGCGCAGCATCGTATAATAACGATTCGCTTTGCGGTATTTGGCTCGGGCCTCATAGTAGCGACCCAGCTGAAAAAAGTGATTACCCGACTGTCGCATGCCCGTGAGGAGGCTAACAGCCGCGTCACACTAGCACGAAGAACAACAACAAATGTTTAACATGAATCACGATTGCATAATAGAGATCGCTGGCTTCTTACCGTTGGCTTCTTGAATTTGCCCGTCCAATCTTGGGGATAGGGTGGCAGCTTGTCTGCTGTCTCATCACTGCACTCAATGCCCCAATCCTCACCTGGAGCCAGCTCACCACAGTCTGTTATAGTTATATCTGTCGTTGGTTGGGCTTCATCGTTGCAGTTCTGTTCCATTTCGGCAACGATGCCCAGGCCCCGCAATACACGGCCCACAACCACGTTGATCCCATTGAGGTTCTCACAGCCGACGGCTGTGATGAAGAATTGCGAGTTGTTTGTGTTTGGCGTGCCATAGTTGGCCATGCTGACCACGCCCTCTTCATTGTGCTGCAGTCAAGACGGTGTTAGTTGTCAATGAATCACTTGTATCCCTCGCTCCACTCACCGTCAGCTCAAAGTTCTCATCCTCAAACAGTGGACCATAGATGCTTTCGCCGCTGGTGCCATCGTTGTTCACAATATCGCCACCTTGAACGGCAAACACTCGCTTGATCGTATGGAAACGCGTGCCCTTGTAGTGCAGCCGCTCGCCCAGCTGCCCTATGCCACGTTCGCCCGTGCAGAGGGCACGGAAATTTTCCGCTGTTTTTGGCACAACATCCTTGCGCAGTTCAATTATCATGCGTCCCGCTGTGCACAGAAATCGCGATATGAAATTATACATACATACGATAACGTTTAACTGGGTCAAGCTCAGATTGTGAGCTGCTCGTTTCGCTTACCGCTCTCCTTGCCAATGCTAATGTCGAAATAGACAATGGGATTCGTTGTCTTCACCGGCTGTAGCAGTTCCTGTTTGGCTGGGCTCATATTGGTTATTAAGGCGTAGCCTTTAGCCACTCGTTCTTACTCTCAACTCAATTGCAAACTATTTAAAGGCAAGTAAACAAACAATATGCGATTTACATTTCGACTGTGCTGCCCATCTGTTGCATTCTGCGAACGCGAACAGCTGTTGGCGCTGCCAACCTTGGCAAAAGATTTATGCCGCGAAAATCTGTTAAAATTTGAAATTCTTAACGTATATTGTTAAACATTGCTTCCTATAGTTTTCGTGTATTTACATTCAATGAAAAACAAATTCTCTATATGTTAAGCTTAGACAGTTATTCATTCGCTGTGCCGCTATATGAATTTTATAGTTTGAGTCAATTTGCTGAAGCGAATAATTCAATAAGTGTTGTCTAGCCAAAATCAATTATTCTTCCTAATACTCATTCAATTTTTAATGACATCCTTGTTAGGGCTTCACTTTTTTGCATTCTTAAGCAATATTGCCCAATGTTCAATACAATAAAGTAATTTGCCTAGTTATACAGCCAACAAAACATATAATTTAAAACTAATTGACGATGAACCTCCCACTAAAAATTTACTATAAAAGCTAGTTGCGGATAGATGACTGCTCACAGTCAAAATATTTACACCCATAATGTCGAACATATTGGATCAGGAGTTAGAAAAAATGGAGTTGCCAAATCCGGGCGTAAAATGGGTGGAGTACTGCAGCTTTGCATTGGGCATCAATGTGGCGCCCCGGAAGCGAAGCTCTCGATACTGTGGATAGTGAGTGCTACCTATGATTGGGAAGACTTGACATTAAACTTCGAAAATTTATGTTTAGCTTACGCATATTGGCATATTTGCTGAATTTTTATATTACGTGTGGCCTTATGAACTTTGTTCTTAAAAATTATATGGTGTCCTTTCAAACCAATGTGGAGGTTTGTTTTCGGCTCGGTTAAAAACTTCATTTAACAAATATTTGCGAATTGCTTTCAGTCTATGGTACTTTGCTTTCAAATAATCATGAACATAGTCAAAATTACGTATTATCACAATCATCTCGACGTCTGTGCAGATTTAATGCGGATCTCAGAAACGTGTGATGTCTTAAAGAACTTGGGTATATTTGATGTGGGTAAGCATTGGGAAATTGAAGCAGTTTACTATAAATTTAATTAATTTCTTTCCCAGTTTTAACCGACAAGCAAGTCTTGTGCAAGGCATTGATGACAAAGATAAGAGATAGCTGGAAGAGTATTAATAGTCAGGTTATGTTCTTCTTCAGAATCGTTTCGTTGCCAGTTATTTTTTATTGCGCACGGCCCTATGTGCTATATGTATGCGATTGTTATATTGCGCGAAATATTTGTAAAATTACTTCAAGTGAGTTTATTTATTGAAAAAGCATAGACTGGTGCTATATATAAGAATTCTAATTTTTATAGCATATCCCGCCATAATGCCCTTCGTTCAAGTTGGCAATCATGAATATCCTTCTTTCACTATGCGATTTTTTGTGGAGCAAACTGGACCTGCCTATTGTTTTTGCAGTACGATCTGTTTCTGGCTATTATATAGAGTTCTCCATATCCATATACATATTTACTTTTCGTTTTCTTTTATAGATGTCTTTGGCTTCAATAGTCTCTTTGTTGTGCTCACAAATCACGAGGCTTGCCTCTTTGAGCTGCTGCGAGATTTGGTAAGAAAATCGACAAATGATGAAATCGTGCCCAAAACATCGAGAGTTTCATATTTGCGTTGCTGTGCCAAGCTTTTTGCCCGACTATCCAGGTAAATATCTTATCCGAATTTGAATTGTGTATAAATATTAATATTTCCCAACTGCAGACATCATGCCCAGGTTGAAAATCTTTTCAGCTCTATTATTTTAGTACAGTGCGGGGTCAGCACATTTTTTTTGTGCATGCTGCTTTACAATATTATGGTAAGACAACCCAAATTTATATGGATTTTATTAAAAATTATCGAATATTTCAGGAAGTTGATTGGTCCAAGTTGTCCACGATTTTTGTTTACTTTCTGACAATTCTTTTCGAAATCAGTTTATATAATGTCAATGCGCAGAAGGTGGAGACACAGGTAATTCTTGAGGAACTTAAATATGCAGACCATAATACAATTTCTTATAGAGTGAACTGTTATTTCACGAGTGGTACAACTGCGCATGGTACAACGAATCGGAGGACTTTAAGCTTATCATTAGACTAATGCTGCTTTTTTCGATGCGAACCTTTAAACTAAGTGTCGGTGGCTTTTCGAAATTATCCAATCAGCTGCTAGTTCAGGTGAGCAACGAGAATCTAAATATATGTATATGTAGTACTTAACCTTTTTTTGGAATCTCTGTCAGGTGTTTCGGTTGAGTGGCAATTTCTATTTGCTGTTGCGCAATATGAATAACAAATAATATCAATTTCGTACTTTATACAAAAAATTACAACGTTGGAAAATTTTATTTTAAGGTGAAATTCATAAGGCGACTTAAGCACAGTAGAAAATATTGTAATTGGCACATTAAACGTAAATGACAAATGTATGTTAATATATATATAGAATAGATTGCAATGTGGCATAGCCATAAAAGGGGAGGAGAGATATAGAAATGCAATATTGTTTTGAAAGTTTTGGTACACGGCACAGTTTTCAATATATAGTATAGTATAATACAGTCGTCCATGGCTGGCTTGAATCGAAGGCACAATTGGCAGTTTAGGAAATTTGTTTCAATATTGGCATCATATTACACCGATAATAATAAATCGAACGATGCTTTGTAAAGCTAAACGTTTTGCATTTTCTGTTGCTCGTTTCTTGTTTATCGTTGGCTCTTTTGTTTCTTTCTTTYACTAAACAAAATATTTCAGCTAAAAGACTAAAATTACATAATTTCATTCAACGGCTACGTGTACGGATAATTCCGCATTTGTTCGTCTTCGCCTCGTACTTAGATGTTAATTGAAGTAGTTGGTAGTTGGTAGTGCGCTTAGTTAGGGTCTATATGTCTAGGGCTCTAGACGATTGCGTCTAAAGCAATTACTTGGCAGTGCTTCAGATATTAAACGTATATTATCCACTTCTCCGGATAATTCTTTCAAATCAGCTTCGTATTTGTCGATTAATTTCTTTTGTATGTTCCGCTGTTCCCGGTACTTCTCGATACGTCCAGTTAGATTCACCCGAATGATGTTACCCTCCACCTCAGTGAGCCGATTCTCTGATAGAACACAGAAAGATTATTATTAGGAATGAAATTCTCTATTGAGATTCAGTCACTTGTTCGCTTACCCAGTTTGTCCAAATCCGATGTATTGATATCTTTCAAGTTCTCCAATTCATCCTTGATCGCTGACAACTCACTATTGGCCTTCTCAATTTGCTTCTTGGCGTCCTGCATGTCTGCCTTGGCCTGACCCACCTTGCGCTTGGCATCGTCCACAAGATTATCATCTTCGGTTGAGTTTTCTTCCAGCTGGGAGATGTCTCTTTGCGTCAGCGTCACGCGGTGGTTCAACTCGTCAGCCTCGGCGCGCAGCTTGCGGGCAGAGACCTTTGTCTCATTGGCTTTGCGACGTATCAGCTCAGCATCCTGTGGTTATATACCCAATAAGTAGAGGATATAGATACTAAAAGATACTGTGCAGTGTTTGCTTACCTTTGAGGCTTGCTCCGCATACTTCTCCTGGGCCTCTTGTGCATTGTTCTTGGCCTCGGTGGCGTTCTTATTGGCCCCTTGCAGAGCATTGCCAGCCTGCTGTATTAGATTGTCAGCGTTCTCGATTTCCTTCTTGATGCTGGGCACCTTTTCCAATGCCAAGGTGGCCTTCTCCGATGATTTCTGCACATCAGACTGGAAGCCCGCAAGCGTGTTGTAGGTCTTGTTGGCCTCCTTGAGCGTACTGTCGCCCTGCTCCACCGCCTTGTTGGCTCGCTCGAAGGCAGCCTTGGCGCGGCGCAATAGCTCAATGTCGTCCTTCTTCTGGGCTTCGGCGCTGTGCAATAAATTTGCTAACTGAGGCTGTATTCTATAGCTAACCATCACAATGACTTACCGTTCGAGTAAGACTTGAGAGAAATCGCGTTCAACTTCAAAGTTAGAGAAGACCTCACCATTGCTGTTGGACATTTCGTTGATCTGCTCGAGCAGATTATCTGCATTCTCATTCGCAGCCACTGCATCCCTCTTCAGCTGGTTGATGTCAATGTTGGGCTGCGTTTGACCGTTGACGTCGTTGAGCAGCGTGAGAGCCGCATCGTACACCTCGTTGGCCTTGCGTAGTGCTTCCTTGGAGGTTTGGGTGACGGCGCCAAGAGATTGCTTCACCTGATTCAGCTCGAGACGCACTTCGGAGCGCAGCTCAACACCAACCTTTTGCTGCAAATCGATGGCATTCTTGGCCAGCTGATTGGCCTTCTCTACAGCATCCATGGCATCCTTGGCATTCGTTAGATCGTACTTCGCCTCCGACTCGAGGCGGTCGGCCAGAGCGCGTGCCTCGCGTGAAATGTCTGATATTTGTTTCGATTGCTCGCCAAACTCCTTGGACTTGTTCTTTGCCTTGGCCAGGGCCTGTTCGCCCTCATCGTTGAGCAGATCCAGTGCGTCTTGCAGCTCCTTTTTAGCATCATCGATGATCTGGCGTAATTGTGTATAATTGCTGCGTGCCTTCTCGATTTCCGCATTGGCATCCTTCTGCAACTCATCGGCGCTGACCAAGTGGCTGTGCATGCTGTCCAATCGCTTGTGCAGATCGTTAATAACCTCAACGTAGGTCTGACCGCCGTCGCTAGAGCCGGAGCGCGCATCCTGAGCCAATATGGCCACCTTCTCCTGCACGGCCTTCAGCTTGCCCTCGAACTCCTCATCGTTTGTGACTGGTGTCCGGGCAATCTCGTCCAGCGTTGAGCTCAAGTTGGCCAGCTTGGTGCGATGCAGATCGGCTGCTTCTTGCACGAGGTTATAGCAATCGGGGCAGGCAACACAGCCGCGCTGGCGATCGTATTTGTTCTCCTTGCAACGATCACACCGACGTCCCTCCACATTGTCGTTACATGGACATTGGCCATTCTGATCGCACTGGAAGCCTTTGGAGCCGCTCTCGT